AAATTTCCTTTTTTCTCAACTGAACCCAATGTTTCTTTTATCGATTGCACTTATCGTATGTATTTTCGTTATATACCCCTATGGAAAGACCCCACATGCAGGTGACGATAAAAAATGATTTAATGATCTACATTTACCTCTAGGCATTCCACAAGGTCCTGGTGTTCTAGCGCTGTCCAAAAAATCAAGATCATACTTTCTTGCACGTGGGAACTTGAGGGCAACATGACCGTAGGCGTAGTGCAGGAGATACGCCCCAACGATTACCCACATCCACACACCAACTCGTATCATCTCTGGAATTCGATTAGGCCTCAGCCTCATACAAAACGAATGAGTATTTTAACTCTCAATACCGTTAAAACGCAAAACCACAAGATGCGTTTGACCAGCCACCGGTCAGCCTCTCGTTTTATATATATAAATTCTCAATCTCTTCTCTCTGTCAGTTTCTCGTTGCACTTCCTATGTGGTTCGTTAAAATTTCAATCTTTCCCACCGGTACACGAACGACTTTCTGAGTGCGTAAATACGTCCTTGTGAGAACCTCATTGGAACCGCACAACAGCTGGATCTCGTCTCAATCTACCTTTTTTTCCTTTTTTTTTCTCTTTTTTATGATCTGAAATGAAAAAAAAAAAATTTTACTTTAAATCTTTGACGTAAGCTCGTTTAGTTTGTGGTGGAAATTTCCTCAATTTTATTTCTATTTTTAATGAGTTATTTGATTTTAGTAATTATCGTCACCCCATCCCTTCAATTTCCCCACAAAAAAGGATGAGGTTTTTTCTCAATTTTATTTGGAGCTACTCTAAATTGTATTGAAATATGAAAGGCAGAGGAATGTTTCCTCATCAATAATTGATGGTGCGATCTAAAGTTTGAGTTATTGCTGGAAGTAACCAAGAAAGATTATAATTTTTATCGGGGAAATTTTGTGAATATTTTATTCCTTGAACTTTCTATTTTAGATCAATTGTATGCAGTCAATCTCATGAATTTTGTCATTAAATTGAGATAAAGATATTGCCGGGGTAATAATATTTACTGCAGTCGTTTGCAGACTTCGTTTGCTGAAACAATATGAAAGGCAAGTCGGCATTTCCTCATCAATGATCAACTACGAAACGCCAATCAAAAATTATTAGCGAGAATAAGTTCAACAAAATTACATAATTTTCACAGGAAAATATTACTGGATTATTCGCTCCCACACCTTTTCGTTTTCAATGAAGCGTGCATCCTTTGATAATAACGATATAATACATATAATGATCTCTTAATTTTCTCTCCTTGAAGATCAATCATGTGAAATATTATTTATTCAATTTATTATTTATAACACAAAATTATCATCCCAATAAAGTACTGGAAATCATTTCTGAGACAATTTCGTCTCAAAGATTTTTGTTTCCTAACTAATTATATTTCATTATTTCTGCGTTACTCCTCATTAAAAGTAATTAAGGAATAATTGTAAGGAGTCTGAAAATTGATATCTATTAAATTTTATAAAATATTCTTACGAACTATGAAACAAGAAATTTTCAAAAATTCTTCATTTTCAATCTTAAAAAAAAAACAGGGGAATTCCTGAAAATCGGTGCAACAATTTCCGAAATTTCCCAGAACAATTCCATAAATCGAAATTCGTACTAATTACGTGATTTTTATTTTGCAAACATGAAAAGAGCTGCCGTGCCGCTTGAACGCGGTGCATCCTCATTTCCACGAATACCAATCCCCATTACCTGTGAAAAAAGAAAAAAAAAGAATTTCCCATCCCCGCAGTATCCCCAATGGACAAGATCCTTTTTCCCTCCGAGAAAGAGAGAGAGAGCAAGAGAACCGGTAGTTCGAAAAGCCAAGGACGCCCCCGAAGAGCCTCCGGACACGTTATTTTTTTTTTCCCACCTGTTATCCCGAAAAATCCCTCAACAATCGCCTCCCCGCAAGATCCCCAACTCAACTTTCAGATCCATTCGGAATTTCCATATCGAATCAACATTCACTTCTGCAGGCAATGCAGCCAATCTGCATTCTTGGTGCTCGATAGATAATTTAAAATATAAGTCCCCGCGGTGAAAAAAAAAAACAACAAAAAACGGGCGAGGGCGAGTAAAAAATTGTGCAAACGAGACTAAAAATTCAGTTTACCTCGGGCCAAATAAATCTCAAGTGTTAATCCAACAAACAATTTACACGTCACAGTTCACCATTGCACTCGCGACAAAAAAAAAAGCGAAGTAAAATCATGGAAAAAACCTCAGGGGGAAAGAATAAAAAAAAAAAAATGATCGATTGTCAGGTGGCGGCCATTTTGGTAGCCAATCGTGATGTGTATTTGTCGGTATGATATTTGCAATGCAATTGGTTGGAAGCGCGCACCAGACTAGGTCCTCGAGACGATGACGTGACGCTGGCAAGTCCCGGACTGGGGGCCCCAACGCGACTCCTTCCTGACACCGCTCTACCTTTTCAACAAACCAAACGAGAGGCGAAAGAAACAACTTCGGAGAGAACCCCTCACTCTCTTCCCTTCCACCTACGTCTCACCTGCCCACCTCCACTTTTCCTTCTCCTTCCTTATAAAACCTCAGAACACTGTGTCGCCTAGCTCGCGTACCTCGCGTACTTCGCGTACTTCGCGTATCTCGCGTATCTCGCGTACCTCGCGTACCTCTTCACCAGCATTCACATCTTCTCATCCCAGAAGGGATGTATACCTTCCCCATTTTCATTCTTTCAGATAATTTTTATTAAACAATCGTTGGAATATCCATTTTGGATTTCGTCATATCATCACGACTCGTGATTGACGAAATTAATTCTTTTACTCCTACATTTTAATTCCATTTTTATTTCACAGGTGCTGGGGTTAGCGGTTATAGTTATAGCGGCATAATAAATATTTTTCAATCCCTAATTTTTAAGGTTTTCCTCTTTTAACAAACTATAATAAATACATAAATAAGTATTTAGGGATTTGTTAAAAAATTATTGTTACGTATTATTGCATTATTCACGTCGTTTTATTTTAGAGACTCCAATGTTCCATTAATTTTGTTATAATTCAATTCAAAGTTCAAAAAAGTTCAAATTCAATTTTTCATGTTAAATGATGATTGAATTTTCAATAAATCGAAAATTCCGAGAAATTGTTTCCTGAATTTTCAATTAAAAAAATAGAAAATTATTTGAAGATTCCAAAAATCAATGGATTAATAAATGAATAATTCCATAGAAATTTGATGTCACTGTTAAAAATTGAAATTTTCAAAGATCCGATGAAATATTGTTTTTAATCAATTCCACTCATTTGAATAGTTTTTACAATCCCCTGGATGACGGTAATTGGCCAGAAAAATGTTATAAAAACCCCAAGTTCTTTTATTTGAAATTCAAATAATTCTCCAACGGTGCAAATCTCCTCGGAAGAAGTAATTATTTTTCTCAGTGTGACGATTGAGAATAAAAATATGTATGAACGTCCTGATGAGGCATTTATCGGGAGACGATTGAGATGATATGATGCTGGCAGATGAATGAAAACTTGTTGAGTATTTTCTCGGACGTTAATGCCTCCTGTCGTTGGCCCAGATGACTGCCATTGGGAATGGAAAGCCGGATGAATCCGCTGGAGACATTGGTGAAAGATGCTTGTCCACTACACGCGTAATTAGTCCAGCTTTGTTGATATACATCCGATTCCAAGGGGTTTACGACCCCATAAATTAATGATATTTTGTCATTTCGGGGACTGCGGGGATTGGGATTGCGTGGGGAAAAATTTATAGTTTAATTTAGCCGACGGACAGGAACCCTTCCTGGGCAATTCCGCAATTGCTCTCCAAAAATCTGAGTAAAAAACACAGTTTAAATTCTGGGGAGAGATTGTGTTTTTAGTCAATGTTGTTTTATCATTTATCATTTTATCATTTAGATTTATGAATCGCCATTATGTTGGAGGATTATTATCCGTAAGTAGAAAAAAGTACTTGGACTAGTACATTTTCATTAAATCAATATCTATATATTTAATCAATAGTTATTGAGGAAAAATTAAAAATCATCACTGACATCTGGTCGCACAGCGGATTAGACTTCAGATATTTATTATATGATTTTCTTGAAATATGTAATAGCAAATTATCTGGGAAAATTATCACATCTTTAGAGTTTTATAAATATTACAATTCCAATTGAATATATTATATTTTGAATATTTATTTCAAAAATATATTTTTGGATTGATATTAAAACAAAAATCATGGGAATGAAATGACTAGAATTATATTAAATGAATTTTTAGGTATTTTTAACTAGGTTATTAATGGTATTTTGACATTTTAGTGCCACTGGAAATATTTTAAAGGAAAATTCTGCGAGGATTTTGTAGTTTCTACAAGAGTTTCGAAAAAAATTCCTGCAAGACGAATACATTGAACGACCGCTCGACTCCTAGTCCAGTTTTGATTAGAAAAATTCTTCGTGTAGACGTTTTTTCTGCCGATTGTTCTGGAGATATTCGCGAGTTTTGTGGAGTAGAAAACAACGGCCATTAGAAAGCAAGAAAATTTTCCATCTCGCATCATCTGGTAAACCCGTAAAATCAACTTCTCTCGATACATCCGACTCCGACATCTCCACCAAACTTTTGCTACTGCAGTCGCATTATGCATGATGTTTTTTATGGTAAGCCACGAGTCCATCAGCCCTTTACGGATTTTACTCTTTTATACGATTCAGTAAGTGGATCACACCAGTTCCACTCCTACGGTCCTCGCAATTCACTGAGGATTCTTCAAAAAACCGAATAAAAAACATCGCAAAAACATCGCAAAAACATCGAAATAAAAAATCCTGGTTTTTTCATTGTTCGTATTTTTAATTATTACAAACTTTCAATTAACTCGAATTTCAATTGATTAGCATAATCCTGATTT